GTAGAAGGGTGGGCCCCCGAGCTGGTCCTGCATGATGTTGAAGTTGCGGCCCATGGGCCAGTCGTACCAGAGGTCGATGAGGGAGAGGGCGCCGCTGTAGTTCATGAAGAGGACCGAGTGGAATTGGTGGGGCCATGGAGCTGGCGTTGGATCGCTGCTGGGGGTTGGGAGGGAGAGGGAGAGGGTGAGGAGAGAGGGGAGGAGGAGGAGGAGGAGGAGGAGGGGCATCATTCTGCTGGATAAGGGGGGCTTTGATGAGCGAGCGGAAGGGGGCTGGTTGGTTTGTGTGGTTTTAGATTTCCCCCTTTTTTTTCTTTTTCCTTTTTTCTTTTTCGGGTGACTGGTATACGGACGTGGTGGGCACATTTTTTGGTTATCTAATTAATTGTATATAAATATTTGTTATTTGGGAAAATTGTGTCGATGCCCCAAAAGTAGGGACTTCATGTGACCCAGCCTTAAAAAGTACCATTTAATATTTCAAGACCCTCCACGTCAGCAGTACAAAAAAAAAATGTATTTTAGGGGCTGTTTGGTTCGCTATTATAAGGGGTGGAAAACTCAGAAAACCCCTCCACGTCAGATTTTTAGCCCTCCACGTCAGCTTTTTTGTTTCCGTCCATTTCTTTGTGCCGCTTTGGTTCGCTCAAATGGAAGAGGGAAAACTCTGCTGAAATCGTCGCCAACTAAGATTTTTTTTCCTCTCCGATTTCCTTCCCCAACCAAGTGAAATTGATGAAAACTCTGCCACGTCAGATTTTTTCCTTCTCTGCTTTGTTTACAAAAGTTTTCCTTTTTTCTCTATGCGAACCAAACACAAGAAAAATAAATACACTGGTTTCCCACCATTTTTTATGTACGAACCAAAGCAAAACAATCTATTTCTTGGAAAAGTTTGGAAAACTCAAAACTTGTGTTTCTTTACATGGAATTGCATTTCTCCATATCAAGGAAACGAACCAAACAGCCCCTTAGAAAAAAAACCCTGAAATTACCCCTCCACTTATCTTTCCAAGACGTCTGGTCCCCAAAATACATGGAAAGTCACGTCCCATTAATGCGATCTAATGAAAAAAATAGAGGGAAATTTTTCGCCCTTTTTAAAACTATATCATGAGCAATAACTCATGTTAGTTCTAAGTTATTTAATGTTAGTTCTAATTTAGTTTTAATTCATGTTAGAGCTAACTTTAAGTAGAACTAATATGAATACTATAGGCTAGTTGGTCTAGTGGTAAAACTTGGAAATTTGGAGAGGAGGTCAGGAGTTCAAATCCATGTAGCTATAATATATATTTGAAGGTCTTTAATTGGGCCTTGGGGCTCTTGGGCTCTCATGTTAGTTCTAACCCCTCTCATGTTAGCTCTAGCCTCATGCATGTTAGCTCTAGTTCTAATTCATCTTAGTTCTAGGCTCTTGGGCTCTTATGTTAGTTTTATCCCGCTTCATGTTAGTTCTAACCCGCTGCATGTTAGTTCTAGTTCTAATTCATCTTAGTCCTAGACTCTTAGACTCTTATGTTAGTTCTAACCTGTTGCATGCTAGTTCTAGCATGCTGCATGTTAGTTTTAACCCGCTGCATATTAGTTCTAGCCCTAATTCATTTTAGTCCTAGGCTATTGGGCTCTTATGTTAGTTCTAGCCCACTACATGTTAGTTTTAGCTCTAATTCATCTTAGTTATAGGCTCTTGGGCTCTCATATTAGTTCTATCCCGCTGCATGTTAGTTCTAGCCCGTCGCATGTTAGTTTTAGTTCTAATTCATCTTAGTTCTAGGCTCTTGGGCTCTCGTGTTAGTTCTAACCCACTGCATGTTAGTTCTAGCCCGCTGCATGTTAGTTCTAGATCTAATTCATGTTATTTCTAGGTTCTTATGTTAGTTCTAACTCGTTGCACGTTAGTTCTAGCTCATTGTATGCTAGTTCTACCTTAAGTTAATCGATAGAACTAACGAACTGAGATAGAACTAACACGATATCAACTAGAACTAACACGAGAACCACTAGAACTAACATGAGCTTAGCCACAAGAACTAACATAGCCACAAGAACTAACACTTATATTAGAGCTAACACTAGTTGGAAGTAGAACTAACATGAAATCAGCTAGAACTAACACGAGAACCACTACAACTAACAGGAGCTCAACTAGAACTAACATATCCACCAGTTTCTTTAATAATTTTCCATCAAACTTGATACAAATCTATCCAATTTTTATTACTGCAAGTCTACCACCATACAAGAAGAAAAAAATTCAAGCTTCCTCCATACTTGATACAATCTATCCAATTTTTATTACACAGCCACATAAAAAGAAAATCCAGGCTCCCTCCATCACACATTCAAACCCTTCAAGACACTAAAACTTATTCAATCACCGAATCCAAAAATTCAAAAACAACAATAACTTCCAACTGATCCCCTCATTACAACACCCTACCAGAATTAGTTCGCCGACAATTGTTTCTTACCTCCCCCTCCTTCCCCGTAAGCACCCCCAGACTCCCTAACCTCGCCATCCCCAAAGCGAAGTATCTCCTGAAATCTTCAAACCCGTTGGCGAACTCATTGGCAATCCTGATCCCACCCATCGTGGTGATCATCTGATGGTCGATGCAGAGGATGCCACGGTTCTTGAGGACGTGGTCGAAGTATGAGCTTTGGAATGAGTTATTGCTCCTTAAGGTCGGGTTGAGATAGACGACCTCGTTAGAGGTTCTAGAGCTAGAAAAAATCAAAATTTGAGGGGGGGGATGTTAGGGTTAGGATTAGGGTTCGTAGCTCGGAGTAAGAGGGGAGAGTTGAGGGCTTGCGAGCTTCATTTTCAGTGGCCATGGCGGAAGTGAGAGAGAAAAGAGAAGTTGAGAGATAGAGGGTGAGAGAGAGAGAGAGAGAGAGAGAGAGAGAGAGAGAGAGAGAGAGAGAGATGAGAATAATAATACAGAAATTGGGAATAAATAGGGAGTGGACGTAGTTATTCAGCTCAATCAAATCAAAGGGTGAATTTGTAACTTACGCTGAGCTTTTATCGGGGTCCACTACTTTGGGGCCTGAACACAAATACAGTGTGTATTTGGGGCTGAATCACATGGGCCAAAATACAAGGGGCTGGGTCACATGAAGTTCCTGCTTTTGGGGCATCGACACAATTTTCCCTTGTTATTTTATTACACTATTAATAAAAAATAAGTTATACTATTATTAGTACTTATACTATTATCAACTTGCATTTAATAGTTACTTAGATTTGCTTATTATTATGTTATTAAACAATTTATTTAGGAGTACAATTATTAATTAATTATGTAATCATTAGTTTAGGTGACATTATTGAAATAATTAAAAACATTTGTATTATTAAATATTTATGCTATGAGGATATTTTTATTACAACATTAATTAAACAATGGCAATAATTGTTAATATTATATGACTTTATGCTGTAAAGAATATTATCTTGTTTGATAATTAACATCGTCTTAGTAATAAAAATTTGGATGTTACAGATTAAAAATACTTTTATTTAGGAAAAATACTTTATATAAAAAATATTGGATCCTTGAAATTTACGAGACATTTACTTTCCGATGAAAAGTGCACGTCTCATAAATTCCAAGGATCCAATATTTTTATATATAATAATTTTTCTAAATAAAAATATTTTTAATTTATAACATCAATTTTTATTACGAAGATGATATTATAACGTCAAGCAAGGTAATATTTCTTACGCTATAAAAAAATCAATCTCTATTTATAGTATTACTAATAATTATAATTATGTAGAATAATTTATTAAATAAATAATTTTACTATTTTGTTACAATTAATAACTGCTTATGATAAATTATAATATATTTATGAATTTTATTATCGTTATAAATTATTAATATATTCTAGTGAATGACCAAATAATTTTGGAAAAATGAAGATAAAAGTATATGTCTCATAAGTTTCAAGGATTTAATGTTTTTATATAAAGGAATTTTCCTAAATAAAAATATTTTTAATTTATAACTTTGAAATTTTTATGACATAAAAAACAAATCCCTTTTTATACTATTATTAATAATTATAATTATGTACAATAATTTATTAAATAAATAATTTTGTTACTTTAGATAGTTAATAATTCTTTATAGTAAATTGTAAATATTTATGAATTTAATTATTATTATAAATTATTAATATATTTTAGTGAATGATCAAATATTTTGAGAAAATAAAGAGGTGCATAGTTAATGAGAGGTTATGGATTGTTAATTTTGTAAATAATAGTATAATTGTGAGTTAGAGAGGGTAAAAAAGAAAATCAAAAGTTTTGACATGTGTATTCTCTTTTATAAGTAGTATAGATTGTTAACCTTTTACTCTTTTATAGTAGTTTTGTTGAACAGGTAAATCTACTCCTATCATTTAACTGATATATTGGGGGATTTGGACCCAGGTTGCAGAGCAGATATTGATCTCTCTCTGTAACTATATATGTTTTTTTCAAAAGAAAAAAATAAAAATAAAAAACTACGTGATGAGGGATTTGAGGTGGACGCAATTCCTGGTACGGCTGTGCGGTTGTGCTCCGTGCTCAACAGTGTTGGTTTTGGGGGGAGTGGGAATGAAGGGTGATTCTACAGGGACCCAAAAATGAGACAGATAGGAGAGACATGTGAGGTGTCCCCCCTTAATTGCATAATGAGCGCTCATTATGTAATCAGAGGGGGACACCTCACCTGTCCCCCTCTATCTGTCCCATTTTCGGGTCCGTGAGGCATTTTTCGGGAATGAATTTGAGATGATCCAAATTTCTGGCGGTTTTCTTGAAAAGGATCGAGTCCTAATGGCGCGAGGTCTTGAAGTCAGACTCCCCCTCGAACGTATTATTCTCGTAGCAAAGTTTTCCCCATAGCCAAAGAAAAAAAGAAAAAAAAATGTCCCAATTATTAGTTTTGGATCTTTGAAGGCCATATAATAAATTGTCATGGAAACGATAACAAGCGTTGTGGATGAACCTCTCAGACAATAAGCACGGTTGGCAACATGTGTGTTTCCAAGAAAATATACAGGTATCTATTACTATATCTATTTTCAAGAGAATTTGTGTACATTAGCATTTATTTAACATATTGTACATCAAACATGTCAAAATTGCTCGAAATCAAAGAATTGAATAAATAAGATCAAAACAAACCAAACAATTTTAATCGCATAAAGACATGAGCAATGAAGACATGAGAGATCCCGTATCCGAGCAAAGAATGCAGAGAGGCAGACTGACCTCAGTTTACCAGATCGAAAAAAACCTGCCAAGTCCACGATCTTTTGCTGACACTTGAATCAGTTTTATACTAAAAAACCGAATCTAGTGGAAACAATACCAGACTCAGCAAGCAACAGTTTGATTTCAACAAAGTTTCTTAATAAGGTCAAAAGAAGTAATGAAAATAAATACTGGAAATAAACACAACATTCTAGGCTTCAACCTACATAGAACTTTCTGAATTGTTAGGATTCACAATGCTAATTGGTCAAACCACAGAGTACGCAAATACGTACAATGAAACCATGATGAGGTTACCCAAACTAAGGCTTCGTCCTTGGCAAAGCATAGTCTATAATAATCCAGTAGATCTTAATCAAGCCTTTTCAATCTGGATGTTCTCAAAGTTTTTCTTTCTCCCTGGAGAAACCTTTAGGATCGAAATACACGAAATGCGTATTTACCAAAAAAAAAAAACACCCTTAAAGCAGCATCAGTGCGTCAAGGCACCATTGCTTTAGTAAATCAAAGGCAACCTCTCACATCAAGATAGAGGGACACAGAACAGAAAGATTTTGAGCGAAGAAGACGACAGATTTTCTGAAACAAACATGTACATATCCAACTCAGAAGGTGAAGGAAAAAAGGTTACATATGGTAAAATGGAATGTATTTGGAATTGACTAAATATCTACAGAAGACGCATTTCAACTTACATGGAAACAATTAGATTTAACAGGAAGGTATCATGATGCTCTGCATATATAGAGTACACTGTACATTCTCATGATGCAAATGTAAATGTAGGTTGACGAAGAAGAGACCATCAACATGATACAAGAGATAACAAACTTCAATTAAAAAACACCTCAAAAACCACCAAAACTCGATAATTTATATGATATAGCAAACAAAACTTATTTTGTACAGGATGGACAGAAATACATTTATGGCTGAAAGGAAACAATAAAATTAATGGGGGCAGCTGTTATTTTTATACAATTATCATGCAGCTGACATTTCATTTACAGGTCGAAAACCATGCTCAAAGAAACTACTCACAGTTGAGGTAGAACTGTCATGATCTCCGTTATGATGTAAATAGCTGGCTTCCAAGAGTCACAGTGGTTGTGCCTTCTCCCATGATTGTTGTCAAGCTCATTTCTTTGTCATGAATCCGTTCAAGCTCCAACCCCACATAGTTCATTGGTGGTCGCCGCTCACCAGATGGGTGCAGACACCAGGAGATCAATCGTAGGAACTCCTTCATGCCTTCGGAGGTGAAACTGCTGCCCATCTTATGATCGACGACTGTAGAGATTTTGCTAGACTCTCGATAGTTTTGTGCCTTCACACAAGCAAACACCCGACAAGGTTATTCATTTAGCTGACTAAATTCAAATACCAAAGCTGGTGATGAAATACAGATGCCATAAAAATAGAACCAACTTTAAGTGAAACATGTGATCAAACATTATCTAATGATATACCTAATTTGTGTAATAGTTTTCATGAAAATATAGGATGGCCCTTAAAGCCCACTAGTTTAGAGAAGTTGACCCTAAGTAGCATGGTACTGACACGTGTGTGACACGGACATGAGATGTAGAAAATGGCGAAAAAGGACACCACGGCAACAATTTGATATACATAAATAATAATTAAATAATTAAGGAAGAGTTTATGTACATGCATACATACATAGGGTTGATCCTACTATGACAAATATTCACATACTCAGAGGAGACAAATAAGGTAAAAAGGCAGTTGATACAAAGTAGTGACGTACCTAACACAATCAAGATTAACAGTCCTGGTCATGAAAATTTTCTTTTTTTCCCCCTACTCCTGTAAAGATATGTAATTATATTATCTGTACTAAGAGATATAAGAGCAAAAGGGCATACCTATTCCTTAAAAAGATAGAATGAGGTCATTGATTTCTTGCATAACAAGAAAACTCACCACTTCGGCTCAAAACCCATTTGCAATACATGAACTGTATACAGTGACACATATATTCTTTTTGTTCTTCAAACGCTAGATACTTGAGAGGAAATTCCTTACTCTCTTTCCTTGCTATTAGATATTGGGCATAAGGTTAAATTTGGACGATGTATGATTAGATTGACTGGTTAATACAAATTGCAACCAATTTTCTACAAAAGGGAAAACACCTAACTGCATCCTGGGTTTTATTTAACCGTACGTCCAATCATCTCTTCAGTTACGCGCGACTATCTCACTAGTCTGCCTCCTTCTAGCCAAACTCATTACATCATTCTGCTTTCTAATCAGATTACTTTTTTTAGTTGATTGGGGAGCAAACATACATATTTCAACATACTCGACTATGACTTGCACCTAGTCGGGTATAAGTGCACCACCTTGGCTCGTATTAGACTGAAACTAAAATTCACATCTTGAAAAGTGGGTGTTCAGATTTCTATTCCTTTGGCTTCCTTCACACTTCTATTTTGTGCCTTTTGAAGCCTCTTTTGCTTCCTTCATAGACCAACAAGGCAGACATATCTTCAACCTGTAAGTCTTTGTATGTAGAGAGGCAGTCCATTCCACCTTCCTTTTCATGGAGAAACGCCAATATCATTGCGCACTAGATCAATTTGGGGGCCTAGCAAATCATGGACTATGATACCAGTCATGGGAGACTAGATTAACTGACTGAAAACGAGAGACCCTTGATAGACTCTCGGATCTAGATTTATTTAAACATGTGTCTGATCATCTCGCTAGTCAATATGAAACTAATCTTATATCTTACTTCTTTTTAACCAAACTCATTAATTAATTTACGAAATGGGTTACATTTACTATATTTGTATTTTGCACTCCTATCATCTACCTATCCAAAGGTCTGATACCACTGACAGGAGATCGGTGTGGGGAAAGTAAATAAAACTCAAAAGCAATAAAACAGGTCCCACAAGAACAAACATGTGAGAGAAAAAGAGAGGATAGCAATGCACAATCCACAATTAGTTGAGACTATTTAATTACCACTTGATTAAATTGAAAAGTTTCGATTAACATGGAAGATGTGAATATGGCTGTATTATCAAATGAACTTCGGGAAGAAGTCAAGTGATATTGATTCTAATTAGCTTGTCTGCAGAGGATAAGAATGTAAAGAAGGATCATAATAATACTAATCCGGGTGAATTCGACATTTTATTGTAAAAAGAAATGACATATGAAGAGGGGTTGTTGACGTCCTAAAGGAAAATAAAGCACAACTAGGAAAACTAACCGATCAATTAGTACTCAAAAGCTGGAGTTTCTATGTGATTGCATTAGCTATATGTTGCTATTGAGTGCCATGTTTGTACATATCAAATCCACTTTTTTACTTTGGTAACTCGTAGGTATGCCTCATCTGGTCAAAAAGATCTAAGGGGCTAATTAATTCTTCACAAAATAGTGTGCATAACATATTTTTCATAACATGAGTAGATATTTTCCTGAAAGACCGGGCATCTCAATTTTGTCTATAAGGGCTAAGGTTCAGAGAAAATACCGAATGTGAAGGGAAAAGCACCTAGAGTTAAGTAACTTTACTATCTTCGCCTTCACCCTATTACCTAATACATCATGACAAATGATGAATTTAAATTTCAAAGGAGTATTAATGTATAAAGAAGGGCATCTGGAACATTGTGAGGTTATAGTGCTTACCTATAATTGCAATCTCACATGTTAACACCAAAACTTGTATATGGTAAGACAACTAGAAAGTCAAAGCAAAATAATTGTCCAATGAAAGCATTATAGGGGCCACTGCGTTAACTTCTCCTTTTATACCAAAACTATATGACAACTATAAGACCCATGTACAGATTATACCAAAAGTAGAGGACCCAAGTACAAAACAAGAAGACCCAGATACAGATTATACCAAAACTAGAAGACCCACATAAAAACAAGAAGACCCAGGTACAAATTATACCACTTATAGACCCACATGCAAAACAAGAAGACCCAGAAGCAGATTATACCAAAACAGTTGAAATAGAAACCCTAATTCATTATGAGATCTCTTGGGCTTTATATAGGCCCCTACACAACTTACAAATAAGTCCCTAACTAATACTAATATGTCAACACTCCTCCTCAAGATGGGCGAAAAATATCTACTAAGCCCATCTTGTCACATCCTCTAATCATATCTACTGAGCTAAGTCCTTTAGTCAGACAATCTGCTGCCTGGTCCTTAGTCGAAACATGACTTAGCTCCAGTAGTCCACTATCCAACTTCTCTTTGATGAAGAACCTATCGATCTCGATGTGTTTGGTTCTATCATGCTGCACTGGGTTGTTGACGATACTGATGGTTGACTTGTTGTCACACCACAACTTCATCTTAGCTCCTTGATCCAGCTTTAGCTCCACCAGCATACTCTTCAACCATAGCAACTCAGCAACTCCTAAGGCCATAGCTCTATACTCTGCCTCAGCTGTCGATCTCGCCACCACCGACTGCTTCTTGCTCTTCCACGAGACTAAGTTGCCTCCTATAAAGATGCAGTATCCTGAGGTGGACCTCCTGTCATCAGCACAGCTAGCCCAATCCGAGTCACAATAGCCCTCAATGCTCATGTGTTCATTCTTCCTGAAGATTAGCCCTTTTCCGGGGGCATTCTTCAAATACCTTAGAATCTGGTACACTGCGTCCATATGACCCTTCCTTGGATCATGCATGTAGCGACTCACCACGCTCACTGCAAAAAAGATATCGGGACGTGTGTGATACAGATAGATCAACCTGCCTACCAACCTTTGGTATCTGTCACGATCAACTGGTTCTCCAGCTTCAGCACCCAGCTTAAACTTCTGGTCGATCGGTGTAGTTGCAGGTTTGCATCCTAACATTCCTGTTTCTTTGAGAAGATCCAGTGCATACTTTCTCTGGGATAGGACGATCCCCTCCGCTCCTCGAGCTATCTCTATTCCAAGAAAGTATCGAAGCAAGCCAAGATCTTTCACCTCGAATTCCTTACCCAGTCTCGCTTTGAGTTGGGCAATCTCCTTCTCATCATCCCCTGTAATAATCATATCATCCACATATACTGCAAGCAAGGTGATGTGACCTCCACTTCTTCGAAAGAACACGGTATGGTCGGCGCTGATCTGCTGGTACCCCATACCAATCATAGCCCTCCTGAATCTATCAAACCAAGCACGAGGAGACTGCTTTAGCCCATAAAGAGACTTCTTCAATCTGCAGACCTTTCCCGCTGTCTGATCTGTACCGAATCCTGGTGGTATCTTCATGTATACCTCCTCCACTAGATCTCCATGAAGAAATACGTTTTTCACATCTAGTTGGTGTAGCTTCCATCCACCATTTACTGCCAGAGAGATTAAGGTCCGAACAGTGCTCATCTTTGCCACCGGTGCAAAAGTCTCATCGTAGTCGATGCCATATGTCTGACTATATCCTTTTGCCACCAGACGAGCTTTGTAGCGCTCAACCTGTCCATCTGGATTCTGCTTCACAGTGAAGACCCACTTGCATCCAACTGCTCTCTTCCCTTTTGGTAGTTTTACTAACTCCCAAGTGCGGTTCTTCTCAAGGGCCCTTAGCTCTTCGTGCATAGCAGCTTTCCATTTCTGGTCCTTCTTTGCAACCTGTCAATTGTTAGGTATAGTAACAGAGTCCATTCTGGTCCTTCTTTGCAACCTGTCAATTGTTAGGTATAGTAACAGAGTCCAGTGATGTAATGAATGCTCCATATGCAGGATGGATGTTAGAATATGATACAAACTGAGCAAGATCCCAATCATATCTATCGGGAGGATTTCCCGCATTACTGCGAGTAGTCCTCCGTACAGTTATTGGTGTGGGATGAGTAGGAAGAGGAATGGAATCACCTGAAGATCTATAAGTTGTTAGTTGATTGGAAAATTGAAAAGAAGTTGTTTTCTTTCACTCTTGATAATGCCTCCGCAAATGATGTTTTTGTTGATTTATTGAAAAAACAACTTAATTTGAAAGAGGCACTTCTTGGGAAGGGAGAATTTTTTCATATTAGATGTTGTACTCGTATCCTCAACTTGATTGTCCAAGATGGTTTAAAAGAAGTCCATGGTTGTATTGATAAAATTCGAGAAAGCATCAAGTATATAAAAGGCTCTCAAATTAGAAAACAAAAATTTTGGGAATGTCTCTCTCATGAATCTTTGGAAGTGAAGAAGAGTTTAAGGCAAGATGTTCCAACAAGATGGAATGCTACTTGTAGGAAGAGGAATGGAATCACCTTGAGAGGAATCTGGTGGTGGTGTAGGTGTCTCAGGAGTCGGGGCAAGCGTTGGCAAGAGACTTGACACCAGTGGCACTGTAAGTACTGTTCCCGTAATTTGTTTCCCCTTCCTACTATAGGTAAGTAGTTCCCCCTGAGCCGTTGGTCTAACACCTCTTGTCTCATTCTCCTCTTCTTCTTCATTCTCTTGCTCCTCCTCATTTCTCCGATTTCTTCACATTGTTCACCGATCTCTCACCATTCTCCTTCTCTCGCCTCATACTTCTAGTATTGGGCGAGTTACCAACGGATGAAGTTACCTTCCGGGTGTAATATGGCTCGAGTTCTCGGAAGTGCACGTCCATGCTCACAAACAACCTTTTCTCCACCGGGCTCCAGCAAACATATCCCTTCTGAATAGCAGAATATCCCACAAAGATGCATTGCACAGCTCTAGGGACAAGTTTCCCGACAGATGGCCTATTGTCCATCACAAAGCACACACAGCCAAACACTTTAAGTGGAAGAATCCCACCATTATCTCCCTTCAATGTCTCACACGGAGACTTCCAATCCAGCACTCTCGAGGACATTTTGTTGATCAGCGCTGCTGCGATCAACACTGCTTGCCCCCACAATGTTTCTGGGACATTCATAGAGATCATCATGCTTTTAGCAACCTCTAAAAGATGTCTGTTCTTCCTTTCCGCTACCCCATTCTGAGCTGGTGTGTATGGACAGGTTGTCTGGTGATGTATTCCCTGAGCTGACAAATATTCTTCAAACGCTCTGTTGGTATACTCTGTCCCATTATCCGACCTCAATATCTTCACCACTGCTCCGTATTGAGTCTGAACATTCCTATGAAAGTTTTGGAAGCACCCAAACACTTCACTCTTATTCTTCATCAAGTATAACCAAGTCACACGAGAGAAACAATCAATAAATGTAACAAAATACTTGTATCCATTCATAGAACTTGTGGAACAAGGCCCCCAAACATCTGAATGTACCAAGTCAAATACACGAGAACTTCTATGACCTGAACTAACATAAGAGCTTCTAGTAAGCTTTCCAAACTCACATGCATCACACACAAGTTTCTGTTTATTTGCTTTCTCAAATAAAGAAGGATACAATCTACTTAAAACACCGAATGATGAGTGTCCCAAACGCTGGTGATGAAGCATTAACTCATTCTCAGTACTCATATTAGATCCTACTCCTGCTTCCTCTACTACTGACACTAATGCTGAATCCAACCCTTCACGATCCAGATACCACAGTCCACTACGCCATGTGCCAGTCCCAAGTCTCCGTCCTGTCCCCTTCTCCTGAAAAATCACCTTGGGAATATCAAAAGAAACAATGCATTTTAGTTGGAGGATGATAGAACTAATGGACAAAAGATTGACTGGAAATGAAGGAGCATGCAAAACATTGGACAAAGTTACAGAACCAGTACAATCGACTGTACCCTTACCAACCACCGGCTGAAATGTACCATCAGCTATTTGAATACTATCAGGTGATGCTAAGTGAGTATATGATGAGAACTCACTAGCATTACCTGTCACATGCCGAGACGCACCGGAGTCGACTATCCATTCTGATGATCTGTTGGGAGACATAGAAGCAAGAACATGTATGTCATCAGTACCTTTGGTCGGATGAGCATAGGTAGCAGTATTGCCTCTGGCGAAGAACAAAGTGGATGCCTCCTCAGTCCCACTCCTCAAGTCTCCATCCCCTGCTACTTGCTGCTTCCTCCTGAGTATCGCCAGGAGAGCACGATCCTCCTCAGTAAAGACCACCTCAGCTTCTTCTTCTTCTGCTACCGTCAGATTCGCCCGATTCCCTGCTCCTCTTCCACCTCGTCGATCCCCACGGCCACGACCACGACCTCCGAACTGTCCACGTCCACCCGAATCTTCTTCCTTGGGTGGTTTGGTGCAAGCATGCCTTAGATGACCCACCGCACCGTAGTTGTAGCACTGTCGAGTCTCTCCCCTAGATCCAGTATTGCTAGAGGCTGTCAGTGCTGACTTCACCACCGGAAATCCACCTGTCCCCGCATGCAGCCGAATGCGAGTCTCCTCCTGGATCATAGCAGAGACAGCCTCCTCAAGCGTGGGAATTTTCGGCTGAGCTAGCAGTAATGCAATTCGCTGAGCGAACTCTGATGTCAATCCCTTGAGAAACACCATAGTCCTCTCCTGTAGAAAGGCCTCCCGCTCTTTACATCCCGGGTCCTTGCAGCTAGCCCGGGGGAAAAATGATCATAGTCCAGCCACAGGCGCTCCAGCTCTGTAGCATATTCCTGTACAGTCCTCTCTCCCTGGACTGTGGCGTCGATCTCTCCTTTAATCTGGAACACCCTCAGGTTATTCCCCACCCCATCATATGTTCTCCTCAACTTCTCCCAGACGTCCTTCAGCTTCTCAATGCCATCCACCGTGGCGGCGATCGTCGGGACCAACGAGTTGAGAAGCCAGATGTACACCAACATATGAGTGGACTTCCACTCATCTCGTCCTCCCGAGTCCTCATCCGGTTCTGTCTTCTCTCCGGTCAAGTAACCCTCCAGGTTCCTCCCTGTAAGGGTGTATCTCACCCATCGTGACCAACTCAGGTAGGTACTCGGTCCATCAAGCTTCAGATCGATGGTCGGAAGCTCCAACTTCTTCGATGGTCTTGTCGCGCTTTCATCAGCCGACAACTTCATCAACTTCATCAAAGTTGACACCTTCGCAGGGTTCAACTTCTTGATGATCTCCTCCATCGAACAGGCTTCAGACCCACCACCCGTTCACCTTCGCTTCCGACCCTTGTTGTGTGCAGTGAAAATTTCGGCAGCAGCCGGGTGTGGAGGGGGTGGGGTGGGGTGGCGGCGGCTAGGGTTTGGAGAAGGCTCTGATACCAAGTTGAAATAGAAACCCTAATTCATCATGAGATCTCTTGGGCTTTATATAGGCCCCTACACAACTTACAAATAAGTCCCTAACTAATACTAATATGTCAACAAAAACTAAAAGATCCACATACAAAACAAGAAGACCGGGAACCAGATACTCCAAAATTAGAAGACCGAGATACAAAACTAGAAGCCTAGACGCAGATTATACTAAAACTATATGACTCAGATTTTGTCTTCTAGTTTTGCATGTGGGTTTTCTAGTTTTGGTATAATCTGTATCTTGGTCTTCTTGTTTTCTATGTGGATCTTCTAATTTTGGTATGATCTATATCTGGGTCTTCTTGTTTTGATTATGGGTCTTCTAGTTTTGGCATAATCTCTATCTGGGTCTTCTAGTTTTGCATGTGCATCTTCTAGTTGGTATGATTGGTGTCTGGATCTTCTTGTTTGTATGTTTCTTCTAGTTGGTATAATTTGTCTATGGGTCTTCTTATTTTGTATGACGATCTTCTAGTTTTGGTATAATTTGTATCTGAGTCTTCTTGTTTTGTAATTGGTTCTAGTTTTTTCTACAATCTGTATCTGGATCTTTTTGTTTTGTATGTGGGTGTTCCTAGTCTTGATTTAATCTATATCTACAAAGTGACAAAGTTTAATTTGAATGCATAAATTAGAAGAGTAAATGAGTTAGAAAAGCATCTCAAACATTACAAATGTTTGGCTGAACACCATTTACCATGATCAAATTCTCAAATGTTAACATTAAATTTTGTATTATATTTTGTATTATGATAAGTAAACGGAGGTACAAATAGGAATGACAACACACTGGTTGTCCAATGAAGGAAATTGCCCAAAAATAATGTACATTAATGACCTAGGTTAATTTGAATACCTTTGTCAAATTGGAAGGACGAGCATCTCAAACATAATGGTGCTTTATAATATTTTCCCATGCTTGAATTCACATGATGTCTTGTAATAGAATAAGGATGCATAAAAGCAATAGCAAACAAATTAAAACTGATGCACTGATGAATGAAATATGACCATATCCTGCAGTAAGCATGTACTCAGACAAAAAAGGAAGGCCCGAGGAAGCCGACGATCAAGCATACCACTAGATCATGATAAAAAGATTCTAACAATTAATAATTTCACTGTTAGTCTACTTTCTGCACAACTTTCCTGCAGAACAGGCTGCACATCTGTAAGTACATGAACAATAATCGGCCAGCAAAAAGGTCTACCAGTGAGTTTCAGCCCACAGTATCCAGCTACGGCAATTTGGAATAAGAGAAAAGAATGTTACTAGACTGAGCATAAGTGCTTCAAAATTTCATATATACAATATGGAATTTCCGCGCATGCTTCAGTCACATTGTATCAATCCCAAAAAAAGTTCTGTAGGTTTTTTAAGGAACCTTATGTCTAACTTTTCTGAGTTATTAGTGGCTATGATTATAATAGTAGTATAGCTCCATCCTTAGTTCTCCACGAAACCAATTTGCATGTCAAAATAGATTATCATTTCTTCAGTTTACATGTTATGCATAAAAAACCTGTATTCTGTCATCCCAGTAAATAAAATCCTTGGCTTTCCAAAAAGAAATATGTATTTTAAACACTTTTAACTTTTTAGAGGGCGAGGAGAAAAGAAAGAGCCCTCATGTTTGATAGCCAACCAAATTACACATCTGCCAGACCTGCCACAGCTATGGAAACTAACAAGCTAAAGGGTCATATAAATTTTGTAAACCAATTTAGAATAGGACATACAGATGAAAGTTTAAAAGGCTACTGGATGCGCAAAAAATGTGACCAAGGGCAGATAGCAAGAATCATATTCCAAATAAACATTCATATGAGGCAAGCACACATATCATTCACCAATGCAGGTATCTATGTCTTAACTAAATTAGCATATACCCATTCAATGATGCTTGGATCAGACTTTGCTTCCCGTCCACTTACTAACTCCAGAAGAAACACTCCAAAACTATATACATCACTTTTCACAGAAAATCTTCCGGACTCTTTCACCCTACACAATAAACAGGATATGGACAAGGACATCAGTCAATGGAGTTTGCATGACACGATTCAAAAATTTCTGAAGTTTGCTTTTGGATAAAATAAATCAAAATGCTTCCTATCTACAGAAATAGCACTGATGTTTCCCCTGTAAATTCTATATTGATGCCAATCAGGAGAGAACACTTACTGAGGATCAACGAAAATGTCATCTGTCAAAATGCGGGAAGATGAAGCGGAACCATCTATTCTGGCAAGCAAGCTTCTAAGACCAGCATCTCCAACTTTTGGTATGAAATCCTCATCTACATGACAATTTACTGTTTTAAAGTTCCTGTGTATCAAAGGGGGATTCAGAGAATGCAGGTGACCCAAACCTGAACAACAGAAACAAAATGCATATTCAGGTTCCTTGGAACACTTGTCTCTGGCCTCATTTACTCCATTAAGGTTAGAAGAGTTTAAAGAAAGCCTAAAGATAATATCACTTATGAAGTTTGATGAGTCAAGGAGCTGTTTAACAAAATTGTAGTATGCTAGTATGGCAATTCAGAGTGAGAATCCAATACTTGAACAAGTACAAGTATTGAATTTGCAGATAAGTCACCTTTAGCTGCTCCATGGGCTATCGAAAGCCTGTGCTTGAATTCAAATCTTTCACTCGACGCTGGGCCTGTACCTACAAAAGAAAGCCAAGGATTTTGTAACAGATATGATATATTTGAGGCAGAAATGGTTATAAAAAATATTAATAAAATGAAAGTCACCATATAAATGAGTTGAAACAGTGCCATTTGGTATGTAGTCATAGATAAGCATCTGCAGATTTTCTTCTTGGCAATAGCCCAAGAGGCTCACAAGGTTTCGGTGCCGGATAGATGATAAATAACGTACCTAAAAGAAACCTTTATGAGATTACCTTTAATTAAGTTAATAGCCAATAAATGTGTGTAACAAGCAAGAGAAATGAGCACACATATAGTTTACATTGTAGAGATTACTCAATAGATCTGACATCAATTATATTTAAAATTAAAAAGGAATGAAAGTGGTTGACAAAAGAACATTTGATAATACAAGTATGCATTCTCTTGTGCATCATGCAGGGTATCAGATAACAAGTATAGCTCATAACAGTCAGATTTAGGTTTAGTATCAAACAAGAAGGAAATTTAATATGAATTGTCAAATTAATGCAACAAAAAAGAAGTAAATATTAAGAGAAAATGCTAAGAATGAGAAGAATTTGAAATAATTTATCGAAGTGAAAAGCCCATTCATGGAGTTCTCAATAATCCGTACTGTTCCGATAGGTATACTGGATACTTGCACTAATACACATATCTTTCAGTAGTTTAAGGAAATGCATCCCTATAATTAATAGATGTAATTCCCAATAATATATGTGAAATGTTTAACTAGGTCAAGTATAAACCAAAATCAGTTAACTTATTGTATTTACTAAATATTTGAATGATCATGGAGATACTAGTAGTCCAGAGAAGAAAACTGCATGGTTCCGCTGTGAAGGTGTTTGGGGGAACTTATTTTTTGGTCAAAGTATCATTTAAGCTAGCTTTTAGATTTGTTTGGTAACAACCCAAATAAGCTAGCTTTTAAGTCACATTTTAAAAATCTGGTATACCCCATCTTTTAAAAAACTAGCTTATAAACTCATCTAAATAAGCTAAGGTTGACCATACAAATTACTACTCATGCCATGCAATTTTTATTGAACTTTTAACATAAAAGCCAAAAGCCACCAAAAGCTAATAGGGCTCAAAATCTTATAAAAACAGGCCTCCCCCAACACCCAAGAATACAAAGGAATTACAAATGCATGTACTCGTAGGCAAAGTGCCATAGTACCTCTTCAGTAAAGTCCCGACTAGGTGCAGCTACCCTTCTCTTAATAGCAACTATCATCCCATCCTGAAGTAGTCCCTTGTAAACTCCACCAAATGTTCCAAAGCCAATGAGATTAATCTCACTAAAATTTTTAGTAGCCAGGTTTAGTTCCTCCAGGGCAAAGCATCGTGCTCCTTGGATATCAGATCCAAAAGAGACGCCTCCACTCAAAGATAGTTCAACATTTCGTCCCACTAAAAGATCACAACGACCATAATATGTATTTAGACACCAAAAATAAATGAAAAAAACCTCTGCTTAAAGAATATAAATTCGCTAAGAATTACCTTGTAGAGATGGATCCGATGAATTGGTTTCTGAAGATCCTCTCTTATGCAACAAGCAGTAGTATACAAAGATGATGACTATCCCTACCAATGCCACGGCTCCT